ACAGAGCAGAGCGGAGGAGTAGGGAAGGTGTAAGGCAGCGCATGTCACCGCCTCTTCTGTTCTCAGAAAGAGGAAGTGAGAGTGTGTGGGTTGGGGACTTCCTTATCCAGGCCTAGGTGAAGGCAGAGATGGCTGAGGCTGCCATCCGCTTCCCATCACAGCAGTCTGCCAGGGCCTCCACAGCCAGGCAGCTCTGCATCCTGGGTCTGAGTCAGACCCCCACCACTGCAGACCTTTGGAAGGAATACGATGGTCTCTGGGGCTGGGGAGAAAAAGTCACATTGACCAGCATCCCTTTGATGTGGTTCACTTGGGGAGTATGAGTGTGCATTCCAGAGGGCATCTGGGAGGGGCCTAATGGATTTCACATTTGAGATTTTACAGCTGCATGACGCACGTAACAGACATAGAAATGACAATGATGGGTGTGTGTGTGCTGGTTCTGTGTTTCTCAGGTGCCATCAGATTTGGGCTGTCCTGAATTTTGCAAAGTCACAAAGCACTCAGCAGATGGGTTCTTTGCTTAAAAGGACCATACATGCTCATTTCTGGCTGGCAGCATCTTTCCTCCAGGACTCTGTTCCCAGAACCTGCTCAGAATTAACCTGGACTGTCCTTCTGGGGTTTTCTAGGTGGTACCCCAGATCTCAGGGCTGTGCCTGCCCTGAGGTATAGGGAGCTGTTTTGCTGCCCCTGAATCTACCCTGTCACTGACATGAAGTCTCATCAATATCTGTCTTCTGGTCCCATCTGGAAAGTGGGAGTAATCACTGTCACTGTCCTTGAAGGAGGAAATCTTCACTGAACTGATTCATGGCTGACGTACCAGCCGAGCCCATCAGGCCGCAGGTGATAAAACTAAGTGTGATTGATTTAGTTGTGGAGGTCTGCTGAACATCAACCTGTACTGTGACTTTTTTTTCTCCCACTGTTAAAGTCACTTGAAGAGCATGCATTGACCACTCTGGGAAGCACTGTGTAGCTCTGGTGGTGATGAAGGCGCCTTGTCCTGACCTTAAGATAAATGTGCATATCATAGCTCTGGCCCTGCTGGGCTCTGGTGGGGAACAGGCCTCAGATGGGCTCTGTGAGATACCTTGGGGTGGGGGGTAGGCTGCAGGGGAAATGCTCTGCAGGGGAGGCTCATTCACCTTGAGGAAGGTCAGGCTGTGGCTCAGAAAATCCCCAAGGTTACCAGATGCAGTGACTGGACAGTTGAAAATGAGCAGGGCTCAACAAGAGATATCTGTTCATGTCTGCCTGCAGATGGCTGCAGCCTGCTTAGCAGAATGCCCCGAAGGAGGGGACTGATACCCAAATTTCTTGTTTCTCTCTCTCTCTCTCTCTCTCTCTCTCTCTCTCTCTCTCTCTCTCTCTGCAGTGCCATGATTGAATCCAATGTCTTCACACTGAGCTACAGCCCCTTTAAAATTCCACAATAGGTCTTTGTAAAATTGCTCAGTTGCTCAGGGTGATCTCTAACTTGCAACTCATGATCCTCCTGCCTCAGCTTCCCAGAGTATGCCCAGTTTAGAAGTGACTTTAATCAACTGCACTTAGCAGCATAAGCACCTGCCTTGCAAACAGGTGGTTATGAGTTCAATCCCCGGTACCGATAAAAAGAGAGAGAGAGAGAGAGAAAAAAAAAAAAACAAAACACACGACCCTTCGGGGGTCTTGGTAGATCACACAGTATAGCAGGGTCGGTCAGGCCTGCAGAGTGAGCTGGAGAGTTTGTGGAGGTCTTTTTCAGCACTGGAGAGTAAACCCAGGGCTAATGTACTTTTCTAACCCTTTAAAACCCTTCTTTATTGTGAGACAGAGTGTTAAGTTGCTAAATTTCCCAGGCTGGACTCAAACTTGCCATCCTCTTGCCTTAGCCTCCCAGAGTGCTAGAATCACAGGTAGGGAGGCTATATTTTCTTCAGTAAGGGTGAGGCCCAATCAAAGGGAAGTCAGAGGGCCAGGGCTGTCCTGGCGGTGGCCTGAGACAGGGACTAAAAGAAGAGAGTGGCAGGGCCGAGGGAGAAGGCCTTTGTGGTGAACAGGCTGGGCAGCGATGGAGAGGAGGATGGAGAGACTAGTGGGTGAGAGTTTGAAGGACTGAAAAGCACGGAAATATTGATGGGAAGGATGGTGAGGTTACTGATGGGAGGCAGTCTCAGAGGGGTGGTGCTTTTGGATGGGGTAGAGGAGGGAAGGAGAACGGGGAGTGAATTTTGGTTTTGAACCTGGTGAGGATCAACTTTTGGCTGGACATCAACTGTGAATCCTCTGAAACGTGTCTGGTTTCTTCAATGTCCTCAGAAGGTTTAAGCTCCCTGGATTCTTAGACTGGCATTTTGTGCCCCCCAGCTGCATCTGAACTGTGGGTGTCCTGGGAACTGGGAGACTGCAGTCAACAGCTGGTGCTGAGTGTCAAAGGCAATGATGCACTTCCTGCCTCAGAGCTTAACTCTCCAAGGCAGGCGTGTCCAATGTGAAGGCCACATGTAGCCCTGGACAGTCACCAGCATGGCCCCACAAAGTTGCACACATACGTGTTCAACACTGTGATGTGATTTTTAAGCAATATTTTTGACGACTAGATTGCACGGGGCTCCAGTGCAGGGTATGCTGAGTGCTGTGTAGGAAGGGCTGGGCCCTGCTTCCTCGGTCCCTTGTGCAGGCCACATGTAGTCCTGCCAGTTAGAAGCCAAGTGTACCAGGCTTCACTCAAGCTTGTGCAACTTGGTGAGTAAAATGCAGTGAAGACCTGTGGTGATATTTAAACTCCATGCATGTGCGTGTGCTTGAAAGACAGATTTTTTTTTTGTGGTATCAGGGCTCGAACTCACAGCCTTATGCTTGCCAGGCAGGTGCTTATGCCATTGAGCTAAATCCCCACGCAGAAATGTCTTATTAAACAGACATGTAAGTTTTCTTATTGAATTATTAAGCTTGGGCTCATTGTGGTATTTTTTGACCTTCTTTTTTTTGTCTTTTTCATTTTTATCGGTACCAGGGATCGAACTCACGACTGCCTGCTTGCAAGGCAGGAGCTTATGCTGCTGAGCTAAATCCCCAGCCCCAAAACCTAAACATTGTAAATCTTTTTTTTTTCTTTTTATCTGTACCAGGGATCAAACTCACGACTGCCTGCTTGCAAGGCAGGCGCTCATGCCGCTGAGCTAAATCCCCAGCTCATTGTGGTATTTTATAAAATAATAAGTTAGTGTTTTTGCAGCTGTGGTATAGGAATTATAAAAATATATCAAATAGTTTCTTGCTTCTGATATTGTCTTAATTACATATAATAACATCACTAATAGTAGAAACATAAATAGTTGCTAATTTATTAATTTTTGGGAAGTGTAGAGTTGTAGTCAAACATTCAACTCAAAGAAAAGTTTGATTGTGCCTCTTTACTAGATCTTTATAAGAACAGTTTTCCCAGAGGAAAATATTCCTCATTTCCCAATCATGTCTTATGCATGGCATGGCTTCCTGACAGTGTATACATTGTAAACAAGTGTTTTTGAGGATGAAACATAAGAATAAAATTAGATTAAAAATCTCTGATGAGAGCCTTGAGAATTCCCTGAGAATCATAACCACTTCTATTGAAGCAGACTTGATACACTAGTTTCACAAAAAGAAAACCATCCCACTGGTTTGATGTTTACATTTTCTTTAAAGTGTTATAACAAAGAAAAACAAAGGAAAAACGGGTAATTACATGCATTGACCATATTATATGTTTTATACAGACCAAGGCAATTCCTCCTCACTCAGTGTGGACCACACAAGCTGAAAGGTTGGACACTCACCATCTGAGGCATCATTTGGACCTTCAGGGAAGTTACACACGAAGAATCCCCTCAGAGGAGGTTCGCCCAGAGCCAGCAAGGCTCCTCAGTTTTTCCCAGGGCAGACTTGCCTCCTGCTGCAGCCCTGTCTGGGTTCTGTGGCAGGAGGACAGGAGTTGCAGCAGGGAGTGGGAGGGGACAACATTTTAGTTCAAGACACCTTGGCAAGGAAGAAAGACAGCAGCCCTTTGCTGAGAAAGGAGCCGCTGTCTGGGCTAGTGCTTTTCTTGCCCTCCATTTACCAGAGCTCCGCCCTTTCTCCAACAGTCCTCTTGCCTCTTGTCTCCATTTCTTCTTCTGAATCCAAATTTTGGATTTGGGTTAATTTCGATTCTTAGTGAGAAGAGGTCATTTTGACAAAAGTTGCATGGTGCCAGGGAGGGTGGTAGAGGAAACACTGTAATGCTTTTACTTGACAGAAATTACTGTAAATGTTTTGAACTGATTTAGGTTACTGAAATACCCAAGATAGGGCAACCAAAGACACACACAAAAGAGGACCTCTGCAACTGCTTCAGAAAGTGGCAGGAATGATGGATAAAATTGTGTTTGATGTATTTTGAATGGGATTAATGGTAAAGAACTTTTCACTGTAATATTTTTATTTTATTGAAACACAGCATAGTTCTGTATCAGCCTTTGTGTAATGGGAATAAGATTTACTCACTCAACATCTAATAAGTATGATGGCTAGACTAAAACCCAATCTGGAGGAGCTAAGGGTCGGGGCAGGGTACAGGTGGACAGACATGCAAAGACAGCACAGGAGGGGTCCATGATCTGGACTGGGGAACCTGGAACATCCTCACAGCAGAGGCAAGGCCTCAGCTACACAGAAGCTGGCAGAAGAGGAAGGGGAGAAGGTTCTGGGCCATGAGAACAGCAGGAGGAAGGCCTGGAGGAGATAATTGCCCTCTATCAGGGCGCTGGAAAGCCGTCCTCTCAAGAGGACCAGGTGATCTAAAGTGTCTGCCCAAAGTCTCAGCCCTGATCCCATCTTAGAACACCTGGGAGCTTTATAAAACAGTGCCACCTGGGCCCCCCAGCCCCCCATTAGAGGTTCCGACTTGCTGGGGCTGGAGAGCTTCTTGGGCGCTGGCATTTTGAAAGGTCTCCAGATGATTCTAATGTGCAGCAAGGGCTAGGGACTAATTACAGACTCGTTTCCTCCAAGGGCTGAGCTGCAGAGTGGCGTGGAAAGCAGGGAATGGAGGTCTCTGAAGTTAGCCCGGGAGCGCTGAGGTCGTGGTTCTCCGTCTCTGGAAGCAGCTTCTCTCCATTTCTTCTCTTCTCCGCCTCTCATTCCTGCTGCCATCACCTTGCTGTGGACCCTGTGACTCTGCAGTTCAGCAGTGGTCCTCTCAGCCAGGCCCTGCCACTAGCCTGGTATCTGAGGAGGAGCCAGTGTGACCTCCAGTAGCACAGGGGTTCCCTCGGTAGGAAGTGCCGCCCCTGCGCGTTGGCCTCCAGCCGCACACCTGCTCCTCGCTTACCGCTTCATCGTGAGACCCCCGCCCTTGTGATGCCCTCTCCACTTTCTCTACCTGAACTCCCCGTGCTTCTTGCAGCAGCTCAGGTGTCAGTCACCCTCATGGAGCCTGTCTACGTGGGTCAAAGACTGCACTTTGGCTCCCAACAGCCTCGGTGACCCTGGCCTGCACTGCAGAGACAGACAGACATGGACAGGAGAGGTGAGGGGAGACTCTGGTGACCTGGCTGCTGCCCTTGATTTAAAATGAGAAAATTGTGCTTCCCAGAAGATGAGAAACGTGTCAAACTCACTCTGTGAATGAGTCGGCTTTAGATTCAGGTTTGAGAATGCCGCTGCGAGTTTTTTTGGCATTATGTAGCCGATGTGGGACTGTCGGGAGGGGGGCAGTGTAAGAAATGGGGCGGCTGCTGTGACCGCTGTCTTTCCTCGGTCTTCCATCCAAGTCCTCATGGCTCCCAGATTGCTATTTTCTGTAGGCTGCCTGACTTTGTCCTCAGTGTCCTAACTTGGGCTTCCATCAGTACCCTCCCCTGACAGTTTGAGACTCTGGGAAGGCTCATGCTTTAACATTGCTGTTCCTGCCAGGGGTGAGTTTCTTGAGCGCCTTGGTCTGCTGCTTTGGGGGTCTAAGGCTGGATGTGCCCAGTGGGAAGGCTCAGCTGGCATCTGCCTGTGTGTCCCTGTGTGTCTGACTCATGTGGCAGCAGCCCAGTTGTGAGGGTGAGGGCCATGTGTCTGGGCATGTCTGGTCGGGAGGCTGGCCAGGAGCCCATGTGCGTGAAGATCGAGGGGAGTGCTCACTCCAGAAGGCAGCACATATGCTAAAAAAAGACCGAGGAGATCCGGGGGAGGTGACTGGATTCTGCAGTGTGCTGAACTGAGCCTGGACAGAAGGCCTGGGCCTGTGAGGGGAGGCGGTATCTGCAGGGGAGCAGGCGTGGATACTGCCAGCGACGGTGGTGGCTATGGTGGCACTTATTGAACACTTAGGTGCTTGGCCCTGTGCCTCCTTGTGTGTTAGGTCATTTTGTCCCTGTAGCAATGCTGTGAAGCGAGACGTATCCCTGCTTTCCAGATCTTATGTGTTGTAATTTGCAGACAAGCATACTGGGATGCATAGCACTGGCCATCTTCGGACCTCCCATGTGCCTGCTCCTGACCACTCCCATCTCTGGAGACCTCGAGGGCCCTGTGAGCCCCTCTGGGAGTCCTAGGTGGGGCTTGGCAGGGAGACTCCATGGGAGGAGGCTCAGAACCAGCCAAATAGGGGTTCCTATTGTTCGGGCCTCAGACTGGCAGTGTCTGGGAAATCTCAGGTTACGTTTCTAGGTTTTTAAAAAATGGAATTGTTTTTCACCCTGGATTCCAAGATAATATTTCTTTAGCTTTTGTTCTTAAGTAGGTATGGCTTCCTTTAAAAGACTCCTTAAAAGTGCTTCCTATGGTGACTTCTCTGGGCCCTTCTACCAGAAAATATCACAAAAACTACAGCTTAAACTCTTCTGGGCTAAAAACTACAAGACAAAATAAAACCTGGAGTATGGAGTTGGCCACGAGCTAAATATGAATAAGCAGCAGAGATAGTGATTTGTAAGAAAAGGGGTGTGATGTGTGTGATGTGTGATGTGCAAAGGGGGCTGACCCATTCCCAGCTGAGTAGGGCAGAGTGACTCATTGCATCTGTGTATTGGTCACTGGTAAGGGACTTGACTCTTTCTTTTTTGATTATTTGTACCAGTGAATCGAACTCACGACCTTATGCTGGCCAGGCAGAAGTTTAAGCCACTGAGCTAAATCCCTGGCCTGGAATCCCTTTCTTTGCAGAATTCCTGTTAGGAATGGAGGCAGCATTGTAAAAGCTGGCCTAGAAAAACCCATCGATGCTCAAAACCTTATGTTTATTGTAAAACAATAGGAGAAAGCCATTATGGTGTGATGTGTAGTTAATTTTCATCATTCTTGTGTTATGATCGGGAAGGGCTTCACTGGATACTTTAGGAGGGGAGTGATGAAGGCATGGCCAGAGCACAGCTTCTTTTAATTTTCAGGTTGTTAGGACTTGGCAAGGTCTCTGCCTCTTTCCGTTCCTGCTTCTACGGGCGCTTTCAGGGAGCTTTTGGCGCTCCCTGAATCCTGTGCTTGTGAGTGTGCAGACACACACACAGACACGCAGCAGGACTACAGCTCTCACAGCTGCTGTGGACACTCGGCCTCTGCTCGGCAACTCGGTCTCTGAAGTCTCCAGTGAGATCCTCCCTCCTGTGTTTTCCCGATCTGATGAACAATATCACAGTGGCTCTTCCTGTCCGCACATAGCTCCTTCAGACTGTACCTCCATCTTTTATTTCCCTTCATCTTCATCCGAAATGCCTACTTTCCTTTCTCCTCCAGGTGAGGCAGTAGCCTAATTGACTACTTCCTACTCCTGCCCAGTTCCATCTTACTAGCTCCTGCATCGCCATAGTGAGTGCTGAAATGCGTCTGCAGTTCCTGCCTCCTCCCAGCTGGAGAGTAAGCGCCAGCTTCTATCCTGACCCTGGCCCTCAGCTCCTGCTCCTGCCTCCCTTTCTCTTCTTAGCCACCTCCTGGCCCCTGGTTGCCTGAAGACACCTAGCTCAGTCCTAGCTCTGGGCTCCTCCTCCATCCTCTTCCTGGGACTGCAGCGTTTCTTCTGCTGCCTGCTGTTATCTGGACGTGCCCATTTAAACCCTAGGCCATCTCAGGGAAATCTTTCCCGGTCTCCCTTTCTAGAGAGGCCTTCTACTCCTCTTTTACTGATCTTACTTATTTCCTTCAAAGAATGTAATTACAGCCCGCAGTGCTCTTGGTTATTTAGAGGTGTCCTTCTGCATGGTGCATCTCTTCCACCAGAATGTAAGTTTGGAAGCCTGGCTTTGTCTAAACTCTGTTTTTTTTTTTTTTTTTTTTTTTTTTTTTTAACTTTTTATCGGTACTAGGGATCGCTAACTAATGACTGCTTGCCTGCAAGGCAGGTGCTTATGCCACTGAGCTAAATCCCCAGCCCCGCTTTGTCTAAACTCTTTTTTTTGTTTTGTTTTGTTTTGTTTTGTTTTTCACAAAGTCCTCACATTAAATTTGTCTAAACTCTTAATCACTGTAGCCTAAAACAGTGCTTGGCAGTAAAGCTGTTCACACATTTGCTGAATGAATGAATCTAAAGCACTTTAGATAGATTAAATGAAAAATAAATGCTCCCATGATAGAGACACCTGATAGAGTGCACGGGGTTTGGGGAAGTGGACACAGCATGCATCCTCAGAATCCTGTTGGCTGGGGATGGCTCAGTGAGGAGGGCATGGCACAGCTGTGCCTTTCCAGCAGGAGGGCTCTTCTTGGTTGGGGGAGGCTGAGGTTTGGAAGGATCAGCTGTGATCAGTGTCCAGGCTGGATGCTGTCAGGAGGTTCTCCAGGGAGTGTAGTCATGGGTGTGGATCAATTTTATAAGCTCATTTTATGTTTTGTTTTTGTTCTTGGTACCAGGAATTGAGCTCAGGACCTTGTGCTTACCAAGTAGGCAGTGCACTGCTGAGCTGTATCCCCAGCCCCTGGGTTATATATTTTATTTTATTTTTTTGGAATTAAACCCATGACCTCATGCTTGCCAGGCAGGTGCTGTGCCACTAAGCTACTACCCCTGGCCCTGGGTGATGCATTTTAAACACAACTAACAAGGCCCACTTTTGAGCCCCTATTAAGTGGATCGAGAATAACATCCTTGAGGGGGGAAATAATCGTAGTTCAATTGAAACAGTGATGTGAGCAGATGCCAAGGTCACCTCTGTGGTGTGACCTTTGTGCCACAAGGTGGGATAACTGAGCGAGTGAACTAGAATCCCAAAAGATAAACCTGTGAGTACATTTGTGGAAAGTCAAGTAGAGATCTGGGAAAAACAGAACTCAGTTGCCTGGAGGATCTGGTAGTGAAGTGTGCCGAGTGGGTTAGAGGGAAATGCTGCACCTCCTTTGAGGTTTTTGTCCTCCCCATAAGAAAGAAATGAGATTACTTTTGAGATGAAAGAATAAATTCTCACTCTCAGGAATCAAGATGCTCCTATTCACCGAATCAATGGGTTCATAGCTTCAGGGGCATCCTAATGATTCTAGAGCAAAGAAGTCTTACTTAGCTTTGCATTTCCAAGTAGATCTGATGGGGAGGGAGTTGGGGCATCCTCAAGGGGTTGCTGAGAGAGAGAGACTTGTCATTTTCTTTTTGTCTTTTCCTTTTTTTTTTTTTTTTGTCTTTTTCGTTTTTTATCGGTACCAAGGATTGAATTCACGACTGCCTGCTTGCAAGGCAGGCACTTATGCCGTGTCATTTTCATTGAAGATTCTTAGTCTCTATCTACAGAGGAACTTGGATAGGTGAACATAAGGGGATGGGTTAAGCCATAGTGCACAGAGCAGAGGATTTGATGGGGAAAAAAGAGCCAGTTTCCAGGAAGGAAAAGCCTACCCGTTGCTGGGTGAAGCATGGGTGAAGGAGACTCAGAAGGGCTGAAGAGGCAGAGCACTGAGCTGAGAGCTCCAGACTCCATCAAGGTTGCTAAGGGCATAGAAATAGTCCACACAGGTGGCCAAGAAATAAAAATAGAGGGGCTCATGCTTCCTTCACATGTGGGTCTCTGGGAAGAGAGTACCCTGCTGATGTCTATACAGAGCAGCTCTAGCATGCCAGAAACGCTGGCAAATTATATTTCAGCAGAGACGGCCACTGACACTGGTACTTACCTTCAGGTGGCTGGCGTTGAGGATATGTTTAGAACCTCTCAAGCAATCCTGGAGATTCATAAGGAGGCTGGGAATTAGAAGCCAGAATCAGTTGAAAGTTGACTGGGCCAGAGGGACATCTTGGCAGAGTTTTAGGTGGACAGCTAGGTCTGGGGCCAAATGGAGGATGTGGCTGGGCCCTAGTGGGTCAGTGTTTCCAGGGAGTCTGGGGAGGGGCCCAGATAGAAGGGGCCTGTCCAAGTCATGCATACCGCCATACTAGCTGGACAAGGGGCAGGAGAGGATGTGGCTTATGGACAGCACATTGGAAAGGCATTTAGGGGTTTTCATTTGTGATAAGGTCACAATGAGTCACCAGCATATTAAGATCTGTGAAGGAATGAAGGGGTTATGGTCTAATGTGAGCTGGTCCTATTCTTCTCTGAGCCGGTCGGCTCACTGCTGGGGACT